TTGGAGCGTGCTGTCCTTGGGATTGAGCAATCTGGGAACAAATCTGAGAGGTCGCCGGAGTGCGCGCTCTGCTCTCCATTGCTTCTGATTTTTTTTTTTCTCCGCGCTCCCTCCCCATTTTCTTTCCTGGCGATTGCACGGAGTTGCCTAAGAACTTACTGATGTATGAACCCTGGAGCGCGGGGACACACACACACACACACTGATGAACCCTGGAGTGCGCACACACACACACACACACACACACACACACACACACACACACACACACGTCTTGCAATTGAGTCAGCTGAGCGTATAAAGTCAAACGCTAACTTCTAGAAAACTATATCAAAACTTGAAGTGTTTTGCTTTGGTTTTTGAGAATCTCAGATAGCCTACACTGGCATCGAACTTCGTGTAGCTAAGGCTGGCATTGAACTCATGATCCCCCTGCCTCAGCATCTCAGCTGCTTGGATGACAGACACCCACCTAGTCCATTTTGTATCTTTCTTTCCTTGGATACCAGTGGCTCCTCTTCCTTATTCTCTCTCAGTATTGTAGTTTTTCGCTTACTCCTTTCATGGTTTTAGACTTTCTATTTGAACTTGCTTTATGGCAGTGTGGTTGATAATACAGTCAGCACTCAAGGCAGTGATTGGGGGGGGTTGTTGTTGTTTGAGTGAGGGTTTTTGCATTTGAATTTTTTGAAAGTGTGGCGCTTCTGTTTGGCAATTCAAAATGTTAGGATAGAACTTGAGAAATCAAATTTCATATGGGATTAGCCAAGGCTACCAGATGGAAATAATAGGGAAATCCAGACTTTAGTGAGAAAGTCTGATTTCAGAGTTGGTGATTTTAATAAAAACCTCTATCCTGTAAAGCTGTGATGCCACCTGTATGCAGCCTGTGAGGCTCCGGATAAACTCCACCTAACGATCTTCCTTTGCTTCTAAAGTTTATGCCTAAAGATTTCTACCAGTGAACACTAAATATATTAGGGAACTTTGTAAAATGTATTAGGAGACTTCGTGGGTAACAATGATTAAATGATAACTTTGCTAAGGCAAAAGTTCTGACTTAATTCCTGACCATTGTGCAAATATTAATCTTGACCCCTTGTCGGTGGTTGATAGATTGGGGATTCAGCAGTTACAGGTGAAATCCTTGTTCCTGGAGTTTATGCTCTGTGTTGGGAGAAGCAGGCAGTGAATCAAAGAACTGTGTGCTGTGAGCCAGTGTCTTGAAGCAATAAATGGGAGACTGCTACAGTAGTCCTGGGAAATATTAGGAGCTGTTTGCCCTTTAGATAGGATGTTCCCGGACAGAAGAACATCTCAGGACTGCAGAGTAGCAAGACTGCTCTGTGATAATCAGGGAAAGATCCTCCCAGGCCGAGGGAACAGTGAGTACACAGTTCCAGAGGACAGGACCATAGGACCTCAGTGTGACTCTGAGGGTTCTGCCTGTGGCAATGAAAAGATGCAGCTGTTATTTACAGAGACAAGGATGGCTTCAAAGTTACATTCTTTATAAACAGCAGTGAGTCCTGGGCTCTAGAATTGTTTACATTAAGACCATCTCAAAATGATACCAGTCCTCTGAACAGTTGCTTTAAACTTTCCTTTTACTTGTTTTCATTTTCTTCAAGTCTCACAAAATTTGCCACCAAGCTCTTAGGTAATGCAACCAAAGTGCGTGCTTCTGTATAACTTCCCTCTCCCTGAGAGTTGAGTATTATGGATACTTCTTCTCTTTTGGTCATCTTCCCTTGGATGGGGAAAGGCCTTAGTAAGTTATGTGAGGATTTTATGGGAACAATTTTGTGTTTGCTATTTTTCCTTAACTCTTGTGTGCATGTCCATGTGTGTGTCTGTGTGTGCGAGCATGCATGCTTGTGTGTGGTGCATACATGTGGGTGTTTGGGTGTAGCGCACATGTAGAGGCCAAGAGAGAGTGTTGACTATTTCTGTTACTCTCCACCTTACACCCTTAAGATCGTATCTTTCTCTGAAAGTGAAGCACACTGATATGCGTGGGTTAGCTGGCCAGTGAGCTCCAGATATCTGCCCATCTCTGCCCCCAACATTGGAGTTACACACTCCTCTGTGCAACCATTTACCTGGGTGCTAAGGACTTGAACTCAGCTCTGGCTCAATGCGGCATAACAACCACCCTTACCCACTTGAGCCTGCTTCCCAGCACCTAATGTTTTTTCTCCCTGACATCAAAGGCAATTAAGGGACAAAGTTTCCATTTCTGTTGAAAAAAAATGGAGGAAACATAGTTTCTAACGTGTTTTTAGAATTTTGAGTAAGTCATTCATTCCTCTAGTGATATGTATGGAGCCTCTAAGTGCTGTACTGGGGATTAAGCCAGAATGGGGCTAAACTGCTGTGTGCAAGGGTCTGGAGAAAAGGTGGCAGTGATTTTGTGTTAAGTTGGGAGGAGCTGGAGTAATGAGAGAGGGTTGAATCTCGGGTATAATTTGAAGGAAGAACCTAAGGAATTTGCTGTTGACAATAACTGTGACTAAGGCAGAAATGATCACGGAGGTGATGGAGGAGAGAGTGGAGGGGGAATACTGGAGCCGTGTCCTTGCGTGTGAAAAGGGTAGTTTTTAGAGTTGGAAGGGAGAGGCTGGCGGGAGCAGGCAGCACACCCCTGTGCATAGGTGGAGGTCGAATGTGGGCACACACATTAGGTTCTGATTGCCTAGTTTTCAGTGAAGAAGGGATGAAGCCACCAGCTTCTAGAAGTCCTAAGAATGAAGACGTTGGGAGACCCGAGGGCGATAGGAAATGAATCACCTGGGCCGGGTGGGTTACTCTCAGGGCCACATGGAGATGACTGGTTTAGCAGGTTGGGAGTCACCACTGTACGTCCTGCATACGAAGTGGTAGGATCTTGGTGTGACCAATTAACCAACCTCTAAGATTCCCACCTGCTTCGTTTTCTTCCAGGTAAAATGAGTGAGTCGGTTTGAGAGTATTTATTTCAAACTTGGAAAAAAAAAATGCGTCGGGGGGAGAATAAGTTCTCAGTTCCTGTAAATACTTAGGTTTTGGACGCCTGGTGACATGAGAAAACATTAAGAAGCCCAGCACTTCATGTCAGTGATTCTTGACCTTCCTAAGCTGTGACCCTTTAATACAGTTCCTCAAGTTGTGGTGACCCCAACTGTAAAATTATTTTGTGTTGCTTCATAGCTGTAATTTTGCTACTGTTATGAATTGTAATGTAAATTCTGATATGCAGGATGTTCTTAGGTGACCCTGTAAAAGGGTCATTTGACCTTCAGAGGCGTCTCCGTCCACAGGTTGAGAACCACTGACTTATATCAAAAGGTACAAGTAATGAATGGCCTTGCTGTGCAGTTATACTCTTGGGTTTAGTTCTTCTTCCCATCTCTTTCTTTTCTTAGGTTTTCATGTCTGCTTATGAAATCCGGGGAACTGTGGCTATAATGTTGTGGTTTGTCTAACTGTGGTCCTTCCGTTAATGAGCTTTGTAAAAGCCGGTAACAGTAAACATGTTGGAAATTTCAGTGATCAGCATCTCTTAACAGTACTTATAACAATATTATACATAGTATTAGTACATAATTTGGCACCTGACTAGGCCCAATTTTTATTTTTTTTATGTGTGTGAATGTTTTGCCTGTGTGTATGTATGCTTATCACACGCATGTGGTACCTTCAGAGACCAGACGAGGGCATCAACCCTGGAGCTGGAGTTACAGTCTGTTGTGAGCCTCTGTATGGATGCTAGGAACCGAATCTGTGTCCTCTGCAAGAGAAGCAAGTGTACTTGACTGCTGAGCCAGCTCTCCAGGCCTCGTGAATCAATTCAGTTTTTTAAAAAGTAGCTTTCTATTTAATTTGTTCTAAATAATTATCTTTTAAATTTTACTTTATTTATTGAGTAAATGTAATTCTATTGGGGGTGGCAGAGAGAGAGAGGGAGAGAGAGAGGAGAGAGGAGAGAACACATGAACATGTCATGGTGTACGTGTGAAGGTCAGAGGACAGTGTTTGAGAAATGGCTCTCTCCTGTCACTGGGATCTAGGGATCAAACTCAGATCATCAGGTTTGTAGGGGAAGGAGCTCTTGCTTGCTGACCCATCTTTCAAACCTTGAAATAATATTTTAATATACAGGTGAATTTAGAACTTCAAAACACTGAGCTGTTTCAGCAAAATAGTTACCTCTAATATTTGTGGTAAGTTTATTTGTCTATCTATTGAAAAACTAAGAAGTTTAAATTTTGGCAGAGCATTTCCCATTTTTCTCAGCTAGTAATTGCGCTCATTACATGCAATGCATCTCCTAGGAAAGGAGGACAAAGCTGTTCTCATGGAAACTGTTGTGCTAATTTGGCTCAGACACATTAGAAAGCAAAACAAGCAGCCTTGGTGTGCACACCGATACAGAAGCGAAGATGCTATTGTTAGAGGTGAGCTGGGAAGGCTGTTTGAGATAAGTGACATCAGTTCGTTGTTCTAAAGAAACCCCAAACTAACCAAGCACACATGCACATGCCCCTTGCAGTGAGACTATTAGGGAGTCGTTCCCAGTGTCTCTCCAGTGTCTCATACAGGAGGTATGGCCCTTTCCTACTCAGCACTCGGATGTTTGAGATGCACTGTATACCATCACTTTCTCATTGCCCCTGGAGTTTCTCTACCGTCTCTGCCGCCTGCTCTTCTGCATCTCCAGAGTGGGCGTGTTTACTGGGATTTTTCCTAACTTAATTTGCTTCTGATCATCCTCTTGTTCAACAGCAATTATCTCTTAAGAAGAAAGTGTGTACATGTATTAGTGGAATACTTCCATGTCAGGAAGCATTTCTATAGATGAGGAACGGAGAAAAATGAGATAAGGTACAAAAAGAAGCATTGTTGTATCAACGGGAAATGAAATACACTCCTAGTTCTTAAAAAAAACAAACAAACAAGTAGACAGTTATGAGGATATGAGAAGCCTTCAATTACCTTCCCTTTTTTTTGCTTTGTATCAGCAGTCTGAGGGTGGGAATGTTTGTACATGAGCGGCGCCCGGTCTGTAGACTTGTAGGTGTACATGGCATCCAAGCAAGTAGAAACAGAACAAGCCGTCATTTTCAAATGCTAAGCCCAGCCTGCTTTCCTTCAGCTTCCTGACAGTTTTTTTAGGTGATGTGCTTCTGAATTTAAAACAATTGTTAACCTGGAAAAACTATATATAGTCAATGCCCTCTTTTATGATTTTAACACACTATAGTGTATCTGTAGTGCTTTTAAAAAAGTTATTAATAATGTGGCTCGTTGACTAATGTATATATCTGGAGCAGTGGTTCTCAACCATTTTAATACACTTCCTCATGTTGTGGTGACCCCCAGCCATGAAATTAACTTCATTCCTCTTCAGAACTGTAAATGTGCTCCTGTTATGAATCATAATGTAGGTATCTGATATGCAGGCTATCTGATATGGACCCCTGTGAAAGGGTTGTTAATCACAAGGGGGTTGTGGCCCATAGCTTGAGAACCCCTGCTCTAGAGGTGTGACAGCATTTGAAATCACTCAATGTTAAAACCCAATCAAGAAAAAGCTTTCTACTAATGTTTAAGGAACTGGAGTGTTTTTCCCAAGAACACTTTGCCAATTTAGCCATTCTTCCTACTATGGCTTGAGTATGGCTTGTCCCTTCCAAAACTGAAATTTCCATCTCCATTAAATGGTACAGTGATGCTGGGTGTTGGTGGTGCAGGCCTTTAATCCCAACACTTGGGAGGCTGAGGCAGGTGGATCTCTGTGAGTTCGAGGCCAGCCTGGTCTGCATATCGAGTTCCAGGACATTCTCCAAAACAATATAGAGAAACCCTGTCTTGAAAAACCAAAAGAAAAAAAAAAAGTGCAGTACTAAGAGATGAAAAGTTCCGAGATGCATTGGACTATGTCCTCATAAATTGATCAGATCAGTCTGTGTCTGCTTCATGGATCGATTGGGTTGTCTTGTGACAGTTTGCAGTAAAAGCCTGTTTGGCTGGTTCTCCCACATTGGTCTCTAGTCATGTGATACTCTGCCCTTTCAGAGGATTAAGCCAGCAAGAAAGCCATAGCTAGTAGCTAGCTGGCTGCAACTCCTGAACTCTGGACCCCAGGTATGAGCCAAAATAAACCTCCTTTTAAAAAAATTACCTTGGCTATTTTGATATTAGCAGCAGGATATAGCCTGGGCTGGAGGTGTAGCCCAGTCTAGAACACTGGCCTCATATTCTCAAGGCCCTGAGTTCAGTCAGTACCCAGCACCAAAAAGAAAAAGAAATGAACTGAGGCATCTGCCTTCTAAGCGGGGCTTTAAACCATAGGTAAAAATGTATAGTTTCTCATGATAGCCATGGCAACAGTAGACTAGCAAACACTTGACTCAGGCAAAGTCACGACTGGCTGAGTGGTGTCCCCATAGTTTGGATTAATAACATGATAACTGCTGCTAGAGAGGATTCATTCATCTATAGCAAGATGCTGCTTGCCTCAGTCCAGATTAATATCTATGGCTCAAGTTCATGACCCTTGGCAGTACTAAGCAAATAGCTCTAGATATAAAGTTCACTAAACAACGGTGGATGAAACAATGGTGGATGACTAAGTAAAGTCAACAAAATAGAATTCAAAAATTCTGTAACTGGTCTAGAAAATTAATTACAGAAATGCTTGAAATTCTAGAAGTAGGGTAGGTATTATGGTTTGGTTTTTGTTTTTTCTTTTGTTTTTTTGTTTTGTTTTGTTTTTTTGAGACAGGGTCTCTCTATGTAGTCCTGGCTGTCCTGGAACTTGGAGAAATCCTCCAGCCTCTGCCTCCTGAGTGCTGAGATTAAAGGCATGCATCACCACACCCAGCTAGGAGTAGATATTTTTAAAGCTCAATTTTCTAAAGGACTTTTTTTTTTTATTGCTACCATTTGATAGGTTAACCCAGATAATAGCTTCCATAAGCTGTGTTAAAATGAATATTCTATTGCCTCAAAAAGGGTCTGTCATATAAAATGACGTTAAGTTTGGGGTGCCACATTTTGCAGTTTAGATTTATTTATTTGTGTGTGTGTGATGTGTGTGCATTGGTGTATGTGTTCCACAGTGTGCATGTGGAGGTCAGGAGGACCACTCCTGGTAATCTGTTCTCTTTCCCTTCTGGGTTGTGGGGGGATTGAACTCCAGTAGTTGAGCTGGGTAACATATTTTACCAGCTAAACTATCTTGATGGCCCCTGGGGGCTCCATTGTAAATAGATGTAACAAGCTAGCTGTAGTCAGTCTTTGGAGGTCAGTGCATGAAGTCCCAGGAAACTTAAAAGACTGAAGAGTAAACAGCAATAGTGCCTATAATTCATAATGAATATTACAGTTGCCACCAGGATTAGTCTCTAAGTCTACCCAGTGCTCATTTGTTTGGCCATTTGTCAACAAGTGTCCATTGCGAATGTAACTACATAGAAACTATGCCAGGCCCAGGCTTGTACAATAGGAAAAGTCCCGCCTCAGGGTTACCTTTCTGTATGAAGAAGCGAACAGGAAATGAAGTAAGTAGGCAGACTAATGACATGGTGTGTTAGAAATCATACAGGTCAGACGCATCGCCAAGAAGAGCCACGCTGAAGTGTGGATGGTAGTCCGCGTGGGCTGCCGCAGCAGCACGCCATAGACTGTCCGCGTGGGCTGCCGCAGCAGCACGCCATCGACTGTCCGCGTGGGCTGCCGCAGCAGCACGCCATCGACTGTCCGCGTGGGCTGCCGCAGCAGCACGCCATCGACTGTCCGCGTGGGCTGCCGCAGCAGCACGCCATCGACTGTCCGCGTGGGCTGCCGCAGCAGCACGCCATCGACTGTCCGCGTGGGCTGCCGCAGCAGCACGCCATCGACTGTCCGCGTGGGCTGCCGCAGCAGCACGCCATCGACTGTCCGCGTGGGCTGCCGCAGCAGCACGCCATAGACTGTCCGCGTGGGCTGCCGCAGCAGCACGCCATAGACTGGGCAGTTATGGGCAGAGTTTCATTAGCTGCATCTGTGAAACAGTTGGCTGTGGAAAATGGAGGCAGAATGTATGTTCCTTTAATGTCCTCTGGCATGCTAAAAGGATTAGATGATCATTGCATAGCCTCTTCTTTCTTAGATTAGGCTCTGGCCAATCGCCTGGTAGTTGGTTATTAAGCGTTTTGGGGCAGTGGAAGATTTGCTGGAGGTTAGGACGATACAGTGCATGCCTTACAGACTTTTACCTGCGAGGCTCAAGCGTTAGAGGTGTCGGAGGACAGGCTGTGTTGATCTTTCACACACGTGATGTCGTATCGTGTGCCCCTTTGAGATCTCTAGCGGTCCAGGGTACGTTATTGCATGTTTTGACGATGTATGTTTATGAATAACAATTACCTTCATGAGCGCTGCGTATTTGTGTATGTGTGTGAACATTTGCATATGTTCTGCATTCTTCACAAGAACTTGTTCCATAATTAGTCATCCTGGTATTCATCAAAATAAATACATTATTGCTTATGTTATGTCCAACTAAACATTAAACATCTCCAAGGCTAGCCAAGCACATTGTATACCTTTACAAATATGCATCTTATTTCTTCCTCATTTTAAGCTAAATATGATACCCTTTGTATTTTACATAGGATCGAAGCCTTTTCCACGCTACGGATATAAACCGTCACCACCAAATGGGTGTGGCTCTCCATTGTTCGGTGTTCATGTAAGTCCTTCTTTTTCCTTTGATAAGTTTTGTGACTGTTAGTCTGTTATTTTTAGTAATGCAAGACTTAAGTGTGTCCTCAGGCTCTCAAATATTTTTGCTTACTATAATGATTGTGTTTGTTATTGTTTTCTGATAAAACACATTTAACAACTAGACAATACAACTAGACATATTTTTATCTTGTATAGATATCACATAAATAGTATTTTCTAAGTATCACAGATATAACTTGAAATTTTAAAGTGCAAAGTACTACCACTTAGGAAAAGAATAGATCAGGCATGCTTTCTATGTTAAAAAAAAAAAAAAAAGGCTAATAGGGGTAGCAGTATAGTTCTGATAGCAGTTTTTACTGGGGAGACTAGACGAGCCAGTAGCCACCGGTAGAGGGTGTGTTTATGAAAGCAACTCCTACCCATGAGGGTTGTATAAGTGAATTGAAATAACTAAATATAAATTATAGACTTATGGTAATGGTATCTCTAGAAAATGGAAAGCTAAAAAACAACCACCATTTGAATTGTAGGCAGTTAAGAATTTTCTGTAGCACTTCACAGAAAGTACATCTCTGAGGCAGAGGGGGACATACAAAATGCATTGGAATATCCTAAGATCCTAATTGTTTAGGCCCCAGAGAGTCTTTTTTTTTTTTTAATGCTCTTAGGCATATTTGTTATTTAAGCTATGCCTCATGGGGTTAGGGAGATGGCTCTGTGGGTAAGAGTGCTCCTTGCAGAATGAGTACCTGAGTTCGAATCCCCCACACCAACATACAAGCCAGGCATGGCCACGTGTGCTTGTGACCCTAGTGCTGAGGGATGGAGGCAGGCAGATCCTGGGAGCTCTCTAGGTAATCAATAGTCAAAACAGTGGTCTTCAGGTTCAGTGAGAGACTGCCTCAGGGTAATGAGGCAAACAGCAATAGAGGAAGACATTCCGAATCCTCCTCTGGCTGCACTCCTGGGGCCACTGTTCCTCACACACAGACTCCCCACACAAATAAATAAAGTTACTTGTGTGTTGTGTTTTGGACAGTTAAAAGTTGTGAAAGTTACTGAAATTAACTCTAACATTGCAAAATGAAGAGAGTGTCGTATGGCTGACACAGTCACATGGCTAAGAATGAGTAAGAGCAATCGGGAGATTATAACACAGAAAGCGTTTATAGGTAGACATGGGTCTGGGATTGTCTACAGCAGTTGACATTTCTTTCTATGAAGTCCATTTGAATGCATTGCCAGTGCTGGCGGTTTGCATCTCACTCACAAATCCATCAAAATGCTTCTCACAGCTGAACATTGGCATCCCTTCCCTGACAAAGTGCTGCAACCAACACGACAGGTGCTATGAGACCTGTGGTAAAAGCAAGAATGACTGTGATGAGGAATTCCAGTACTGCCTCTCCAAGATCTGCCGGGACGTGCAGAAGACTCTAGGACTTTCTCAGAACGTTCAGGGTAAGGATGGGCCTGCTGGCTGGGATCTGGATGTTTTTAATATTTCAGTGAATACATGCTCAGTATAAAAGCATACCAAAGGAGCTTTTTCACATTCATTCGCTGTTATGATACAGCCTCTTCAGTTGCCTGGAGTGAGGAGCTGGCCGATCATTTTGTAATCTAAAATTATATACAGTTATAAAAGCAGTGTTCAGAAAACTTGGAGGAGTGTCTGAGACAGAGAAGGGAAGAATTCACCTACCTTGGGCCCTGGAATATATACCTAATCATTTGAAAACTAAACATTGAAGCCTTGAAGCAAGTTGTCATAGGGGTGCTGTAATAAAATGTAATAGATTGAAGTTGGTTATAGGCAAGAGAAATTTATTTCTCATAGTTCAGGAGGCTGGGGAGTCCAAGTTGAAGGCATCAGTAGTCATTATCTAGCAAGGTTTCTTTTCTGGGCTCATAGACCACACCCTCCAGTTGTATCGTGGCATGGGGGAAGGGACCAGGCAGCTCCCTGGGATCCTGTTTTGTTTGCCTGCATTTGTTTGCACAGTCCTGGGATTACCCTGAGGATCTTGCATATGAATTAGGAATTCTGTCCTAAAGGAATACCTTTTTATGTGACTAATCCCATTTATAAGTATACTATGACCTGCTCATTTCCCATTACTTCCCAAAGTCCTTACTGTCTTAATTCCTTTACCTTGGATGTTAAGACTTCAACAAACAATTCTTAGAGGAACATAGACTGAAACATTTGCTTATAATGTTCTATAATTAAATATTATTGCTTATATTGTTCTATTATTAAATAAAACTAAGGAGTCAGATATTAAAACCTGATTGAGCAGAGACGTGACCAGTGACCTCCTCCTCTCTCTCTCTCTCTCTCTCTCTCTCTCTCTCTTTCTCTCTCTCTCTCTCTCTCTCTCTCTCTCTCTTTTTCTCTCTCTCTCCCCCCAACACCTTCCCTGATCCAAAAAGGCCCTTGAATCTTTTTAAGCCCCTTCCTACTACTTCGTACATCTCTTTGTTTCCTGGGTCCTCTAAAACCTCGATGGCCAATTCTGGTCACCTAGTTGCTAACTCCACCAGCTGATTCAAGGTAAACTTTATTGTCAGTATTTGAGTGTCAGTGTGAACAAATATCCTGCAACAATAGACATCTGTAGCACCAGTGAATTTAAGAGTGCAGTACAGCTGCTAGACTGATGACTCATGCCCATGATGCCAGAACTCAGGAGGCTGCATGTTGCACGGCTTTTCCTGAGGATGTGTAGAGAAACATCTGTTCATACTAGATAGGGCACCAGTAACAGGACCAAGGAAACAATTCCATCAAAGTCCAACTTGGTAAACTGGCAATTTAACAAAACAGTAGTAACACTCTTCACAGCACAGCCTGCAATTTCCCCAGGGTTTTGCCTTGGCTTTACTTGCCAGACATGAGTTTTCTGTGTGCAGCAGGCCTTCAGTCCGATCAGAAAGTAGTTGGTTGTACCCATAACAAGTGTCCCATAGTGCACTGATGGGCACATCTTGCATGGTTTGTTGATGTCATTAGCATAGAGGGCCACACCAAAGCAGAACAGTTTTTACTGACACTACCCTAACAAGCTGTCATGTTCCAGCCTACAAATGCTAGCCACCAGGGAAGGAGCTTCCAGATTGCTCCCAACCCGATTTCGTCATGTCCTGTAACCCCAGCAATAGGGTTTACTATCCAGTTATGGTATGTGGCAAAAACAGTGGCAGTAGGAATGATTCCATCCAAGTCTGACTTGGTGAACCAGTAAATGTATTGGTGTAACTTACAGCGGCCTGGGTGTCTAAAGCACGCATGCTACCTCACAAAAGCTGTGACGCCGGAGTCCCAACCTCCAGTCAACCTTGTCATAGCCAAACTGAAATGTCTGTGGGAATACAAATCACTGTTCAAATAAGAACATTTAGAAGGCTTATACACTAAAGTCAGAAGTGGCAAAGACAAGGCAGGAAAGAAAACTAACATTTTTATTCATTTTCCTTAAATTATTGTGGTAGATGTTTTCTTTTGATGCTCACGAAAACCCCCTAGTGCTAGACAGGATGCCTCTATCTCTGAGGGAAGGAGAGCGAAGCCAGGATCTCGTCCCGAGTAGGCCTTAACTGTCGATTCTGGAGCCCATGCTCTGTCTACTGACTGTTCTAGACAGTCACATGCGGTAGTTCTGATTCTGACATCCCTGGAAGACTATCCAGGAGTTCTCTGCCGCAGATGAAGCCTGAATTCACTCTCCCACCCTCTAGCCTGCTTCTGTTTCTGTAACAAACTGAAGAGCAAGTGGAGGGATTTCTTGTTTTCTTACCTCCAAAAGACAGAGAAGGGGAGCCACGTGATTTTCTCTCAATGCCTGCGGTGCAGTCTGTGTTTCTCTGGTTGATGTGCTCTGGACTGGCACAGTCTTTTGGAGGACTTCAAAAAGGTTGAGTTTTAGAGTAAGATTCATCCTTCATGTGAATATTTGAACAGGATGTAGCAATGCTCTGTGAATGTAGCATGCCTGCGGTTTCTTAGAACAGGAAAGGTAAACCTAGCTTTTTTTATAGTCTTTGTTTAAATCCCAGGAGAAACTACTTTGGATTCTTGTGAGCATCCACCCTGAAGCCAAACTTTAGAATTGGTCATACCATTTAGTATGAGCATCTTCAATAAATGCGATCAGTCTTAGAAGCCACTGGCCATAGTGATGCCTTGAGGTTTCTGAGATTTTTTTTATTTGCTTGGTTTAAATTGTTTTTATTAAATCTGTGTATGTATGTGCGCACACATAGACCACAGCACATGTGTGGAGGTCGGAGGACACAGCTTGTGGGGTCGGTTTTCTGCTAGTGCCTTTGCCCAGAGTTGTGTCCTTAGCCCCGAGGGTTCTCTTTAACACTTCTTTCTAAGACTGAGGGTACAGCATGCGCTTAACATGTCAGAGCCCCAGCCTCTCTGGCCTCCAGTAGCAGCAGCAGCCACAGACCCTCCCTGGCCATGTAAACTCTGCAGTTGTCAGACATCTTTATTGTGATTACATGTCTCTGCTAAAAGGAAAACGAACACTGCTGACCCAGTTTGTGTTCCATAAAGGTTATTACTTGTCTACAAAAAAATCGATCTGAACAATTGAAACCAAGCATTTGTGCATGTGCATGCAGGCGTGGGTGCGTGCTTTCGTGTGTGTGTGTGTGTGTGTGTGTGTGTGTGTGTGTGTGTGTGTGTGTGTAAAGAGACTGAAATGGAATCTGGGGGTGTGCTGCTGGTGTGAGGGACTCGGATGACTTTGGCCTCCTACATGTTTGAGTGCCCACTGAGGGGCGTGGCCCTGTGCCACAGCAGGTATAGAGGTGGGAACAGAGCGATGCTTGACACTGGCCCAGCAGTGATGACATGTTGTAGTGATATGTTATTTATGATTTATTAAAGCTTGACTGAGGATCCAGAAAGCAAAGTCAGCCTCAAGCTACAGAGATCAGGCAGTGGTGGCACACGCCTTTAATCCTGTGACTGAGGGTTAAGAGATAGATGGATCTCTGAGTCCAAGGCCACCCAGATCCACACAAGATTGAATCACTCTAAAAGAGAATTATAGCTCACACCTTTAATCCCAGGACTCATGAGAGGTATTTAAGACATGAACAGGGCTCAGTAGGAGGCATTCATTCTCATTCAAGCTTCCAGCTTGAAGTTTGAACCCTAATATCAGTCTCTGAGTCTTATTATTCATGTTACATGTCTTTTCTCTGCAGCATGTGAAACAACTGTGGAGCTCCTGTTTGACAGTGTCATACATTTGGGCTGCAAGCCTTACCTGGACAGCCAGCGAGCCGCATGCTGGTGCCGTTATGAGGAAAAAACAGATCTGTAAGGAAGCCCCTGAAGCTGGCGAGCAGACGAGAACTGATGCTTTCATAGCCTGAAGCTGCCTTAATTTTTGTGATGGGTCATTTGAAGACCTAGACTGTGTTGTGATTTTCAACCTCACAGTGAAAAGGAGTGGGGCTTGGGAAGAAGAAGAAGAGCGTGCTCAGGACCAGGAGTAGAGAGGGGAGCACGCCTGCCTTCATGGATGGGCCTCGCTGTCTCAGTGGATCCCCAAATTGGGAAGAAAAGCTTGAAGACTGTGTGACTTGGTTTTCATAGCTGTACTTAACAATAAAAATGAGAGCAGATGTAAAATTCATTGTAAGGGCTTTTCAACATTATTTTGAAATTTAGGACAAACTTCCGTTAGAAGTATTATTTACTTTGAAATTTCAAATATGCACTTACACTGAGAGGAAGTAACTACTATTTCTCTAGAGACTCTGAGATTGGATGTATTGTGTTGGTCATAGTAACAAGGCCTCCAAGTGTACATTATTTGTACAGTTGGAACCACCAGCCGGTGTGTCTCTTCAGGGACAACCCAGTACATCTAAGTATTGTGATATAAACAATATTCAGAAACAGCACTCCTGTTTCACAAGCCAGTTCTAACAAATGTCATCTTTTGCTATGAATTCTAGAAAAGATGGATTTATGAGGCAAATCAGAGTACTATATGCTGTTGGGTTTGATGTTTATTCCCTAATACTTGTCCCTCATCTTAGATGCTGGAGTATTTTTAAAAGGTTGACCTTTTACTAATGGAGGTCTTAATAAACCTTATTCTTGATAATGTTTTCTTCCTGATTATTTAAGTGTTTTCAAGTCTTTAATTGTGGAATCAAAGTGGATGGGAAAGGCAAAGTAGAAAGAACTGTCTGTTGTGGACCTCTTACTTCCACTGACAATTAACAGGTGTGCAAGCAGACCCCAGAAAACCTTGGCTGTCTCTTAAAATGTCTATGAATACTGGGAATGTCTTAGTGGCCTCAGAATGTTCAGCCCTCCTGGCCATTGACTGCTGACTTTCCCATCCCAGACACCAGACCATGTTTATCTTTTAAGTAACATTTAACTCGAACTGGAAGGTAAGCTGCTTGGAAGGTCAGAAAAGAACACAATGCTAAGTGGTTCTTTGTAAGTCATTACATGAGGCATTGGGCAGAAGGTAAGGCTTTCTGAAGAAAGGGCTGCATTCCTGCTGCTCTGATGGAGTCTCTTCTCTCAAAGGTGAGATGATGGCAGCCACCCTTGTAAGAGGTGTGTCTATTAGACAAAACAAGGGTGTGCTAAGTGAAACCAGGCTCCAGTAAAAATGCATGGGACCCTTAACTGGTACTTTTAGGAGGGGAACAAAACAGGCAAAGATCTTTCTGCACACACACTTATTGCATTGTTCAGAAGTCACAGAAATTAACTGCAGTATATATATTGAGATGGTACATAGTGAGGAGTGAAGTAATTCTTGTAGTTGCTGTTTTTCTACACTTTCATCCTGCAAACCCAGCCAGGCGCCTAGGTAACAATAAATTAGTATAATCAATGTATATAAAAATAGTAGGTTCTTTTTAAATATCTGCTTTTATAGTTTATTGTATAACTTATATACTATATTACTTTGATAGTATTACAAATATATATAAAAGAGTAGATACTTTTTTAAAAGGCAGCAGTTAAAAGCACTCATAGATCTTACAGAGGACACAGGTTCAGTTCCCAGCACTCACATGGCAGCCCACAACCATCTGCAACTCCAGTCCAGGGGACCTACCTCTTGGGACTTGTGTAGGCACTAGGCATGCAAGTGGCACACATAAAATCAATCTAAAAATTTGCTTTAAATAAAAATTTAAAAGTAATAGATGCTAACAGTAAAACTGCATCAGTGAATGAAAGGAAAAAAATAAAAACCAAAGACACGACTGCTCCTAGATACGGTGGAGATTTCTTGCAAATAAGAGAGAGCATAGCCAGAGACAGGGACATCTGGGAGAGTCCAGAGTGAACATGACCCTGAGCCTGACCATGTGAGGAGAGTAGAGGAAAGGGCCAGGTAACCAGAATGACTGGATTATATAGGGAAAGGCAGCTGGAAGAAGGGAAGCCCAGCCCAGTAGCTGGGCTGGAGAAGTTTAGGGTGGAGGTAGGGAATACCAGCCATGCTCTGAAACAGGTAGGGACTGAGGGATGCTGGGAGAGCCTGGTGGCAGGGTCTGCTTTGCTTTGTTAAATAGACTTTTAACAAAGTCTATTTAACAAAGTCTTTTAACAAAGTCTATTTAACCGGCCACTCAGGTGGCCGGTTGTCTCCAGTTTGAGACCTAACAGTCAGTAGTCTCACTTCTGTGTGCTAGCTATAGTGATATTTTTCTTTCTGATTCTGGATTACTTCGTTTTTCTTTCTTAAATTTTATTTATGTGGATGGGTATTTTGTGTCCATGGATGACTGTGTACCACGTGCATACCTGGCATCTGCAGAGGCCAGAAGAGGGTTGGCAGTTCTGTGGAACTGGAGTTACAGGCCATGGTAAGTTACCATGTGGGTGCTGGGAATCGAACCCAGGGTCCTCTGGAAAATCATCTAGTGCTCTTAACCACTGAACCTTGAAAGATGCTACTGATAAGAAATAAATAATCCAGAGGCTGGAGAGATGGCTCCATGGTTAAGAACATCTTCCTTTGTTTTCTGTCAACTCTGTCACAGAGAGGATTTCTGTCCCAGGTCACTGCTTCTGGGTCCGATGAGAGTATGAAAGTAGAGACTTGTGGTGGAGCAAAGCGGTTCCCTTCGTAGTTCACAGAGGCAGGGATAGGAAGGGGCTGAGGACAAGGACAAGTCGCACCTTTTGAGGGTCTGTCTGATTTCTGAGGGGGAAGCTCCACCTTCTACAGTTTCCATCAAATTCCAATAGTCCGCTCAGCTGTGACCTGACCTGTGTGCAGGGCCACTGGTACAGGCAGCATCCTTATGGTCCCACAGCACTTCTTAGCAGTACTAGCCAGTGGGAGACAAGCTCTCAGTACACCAGACTTCAGAGGACATTCTGGACCTAACTGTCACAGATATTTCCTAAGTAGATGAGTCAGAATCCTAGCAGTTTGGTATTTGTGTGATTTCTATAAGGGAAACAACTGAGAAAGTTGATAGCATTAGCACTGAAAACTGACCAAAATTTGACTCTCAAATGATTTAGAATATGTTCCCTGTGTTTCATTCCTAGGGTAGGTAACAAGCTAAGATTTTGGTATAATAATTCTATAACAGTGAATTGTCTTCAAGTATGGGACAGTCCATCCTGCCAATTAACTTTTGGTCTTTGTTGTGGCTGGCTTACCTTACTAAACAGTTTGGTTTTTAATCTTCTTCCTTCCATCAACAGAGAAGAGAACTTGCTAAGGTTCTATCTAGTGATTATCTAGTGGGACTATTCATCAGACTCGCTGAAGTGGACATCAGCCGCTATTGTGGATAGTGCTTGCTTTAAAATTCTAAAATGATGTATCTATAATTTTTAAATAAGTTGTTATAGTTTGGATAGAAACACTGGCCAGTGTGTTTGAACACTTGGTTGCCAGCTAGTGGTGCTGTCTGGGGGACTGGAATCTTTAGAAGGTCGGGCTATAACTGGAGGAAGGGAGTCTGAGTTGCACTGGCTGAGCCTTTAGCACTGTACCTCAAGCCTGCTTCTGGCTCAGTCTCTACTTCCTGACACTAGAGCTGTAGCCAGCTACCTCCGGTTCATACCACTACCATCAGGAATTGCTTCTGCTTCACAGCCTTTCCTCTGAGGATGCAGGGCATCACCTTCACTAGAGTCACCATAAACCCATCCTCCACTTTATAAACCCATTACCTTGCTTCTTTTGGGTGCTTTTATCACAGTGATTAGGAAAGTGGCTAACTCCTGATACTTTGTGTCTTTAATGATTTGGGAATCTGTAATGTCCTCAAAGGTCACGGTGTTGAAGGCTCAGTCGTCCCCAGCCCAGTGCATTATCGGGGTTGTGGTCTTGAAGAGGGCTGCTCTCCCCACCCTGTGTGCTTCTTGGCTGCTATCAGGTGAGCAGCCTTCTCTGCCATATACTGCTAGCATGCTGTCCCCATTGGTTTTAGCCCCCAGAGCAATGGGCTACCCAGCTGAATGGAAGTCCCTAAAGCTGAGTTTTATTTGTAAACATTTTTTTCTTTTAAGTTGGTTCACCTCAGGTATTTGTTATAGTATTAGGCTGCTAATGCAAAATTTATTAAATGTCAAGTTAGATGAAATCTTACTTCAAATTAAGTAATTACAACTAGATGTGAGTTGTATGCTTATATCTCCAGCACTCTGGAGGCTAAGGCGGGATAACAGGTTTTAGGCCAGACTGGGCTACACATAGGGAGAGCCTATCTATACATGCATACATACATACATGCATACATACATACACACACACACACAAAAAACTATGAAACAACAAGATCCTCTCAATTACAGACTATAAAGATAATAGAACTCAGAAGAAATGACTCAGAAGTTAAGTGTGCTTGCTGTTCTTTCAAAGGGCTTGACCAGGCAGCTCACAACCACCTCTAACCCCTGCTCTGGGAGATTAAGGATTCTGTGGCCACCTGTACACACGTGCACATATGGGCTTGACCAGGCAGCTCACAACCACCTCTAACCCCTGCTCTGGGAGATCCCACACCCTCTTAAGGATTCTGTGGCCACCTGTACACATGAGCACATATACCTGCACAGCGTGCACATATACTTGCACAGGCACACACACACACACACACACACACACACACACACACACACCTAAGTAAAACCATAGTATGGCAGGTGTGATTGTGCTTCTCTGTAAACCTAGTACTTGGAAGGCTGAGGCAGGATAACCACAAGTTCAAGGCTGGCCTGAGTTATATGGGAAGATTATGTGTCCAAAGGTGGAAAAAAACCAATATTTTGAGATAATAAGGTACTTAGCAAGAAAAACAATCCCCGTTATCTGTTCCTTTCAAATAAGCCGAAGGTCAGCCAGTGGGTTTGTTCTGCTCCTGTATGGTGAGATAAAGATACATTGTCAGTACTCAAAAATGTGATGAAAGCCTTACCCAAAGTGAAGGCAGTCCTGGGAGGCAGGCAGGCTATTCAAACCAGTAAGTCACAAATACAAATGTTGGAACCCTGAAGCTTACTCTGTGCTAGGCATAGGCAGCTGGGTTGGGGAATGAGACACCTAAATAAATTTAAAAAAAAAAAAAAAAGAAAAAAGTAAAAATAGGTCACATCTGCTTTCTCCAAACAAGGTAAGGTGACAGTACAACTCTAAACCCATTTTTTTTCTGAGCTTTCCCCTTGAAAAACAGGGTTCTGAGTACTTTGCAGGTTTGACTGTTGTCACAACCACTACTGGAGAAAGAGAGTGATAGGCCACGTCTTAATGACAGAGGACAGTATTAGAACAAGTGAATATTACTAAGCCCAAGCCTCTTCACTTGCCACTCAGAGGGGGCCCAGTGAATTGGGGACAGGTTTTTAGGACAAGGAAGAAGGTCTCCTTAGTAAGCTAGCAAGACTGAAGATGCAGTAGACAGCCATCCTGGAAGGCTTTTGCTTTTTGTTTTAATGGAAATGGTGACTTTAAGACTAGTGGAGGGCAGAGGCTGTGAAAAGATGCCCAAAGCCAGCTGTAGGAATAAGGCTGTAGGCATGCATTAGCATGTCGTGAACTTTAAAGAACCCCCTCAGCCCGCACAGCGCTCATATGCACACATACTCCCCACCCCCACTCCCTACATGACA